CCCTCTCATCCTCCTCTTTCTCTACCCAGATCCTCTCTCTCCTGTGGTACCAGGAACAAACTCACACTGGCGAGGTCCTAAAGTTCATTTGCACCTTTGCAGCAGGCTCCACTGAACCATTTTGTGGGTCAGAGCGTTCACCTTGGGAGAACAGTGCTACTATGGTAACAGTGTTGGAGCCATGTTGAGTTACCACCTCCACCTCTATATGATTTCATGCTGATGGACATGAAACCATATAGTGCATTTTGTGGTTACTGTGTTGGCACCGATGCTTGTACATCACCATGAATAGAAGTGAATCATTACAGTTATGGCTCCGTCACCCCGGCCAGAGAATGAAATCATTTTTAGCAGTGCTAGGAGTGTAGTGGTGGTGGTGTAGGGTTAAGGTATTTATAGGCTTAACAACTTCTTCTCTTAGGACCACCCAAGCCTTCACTGGCTCAATTTATGTCATTTTCTATTTCCCCCCTATACATCAGCACCATTACATTTTCCATATTAATATTTTAGTGACAGCTCTATGGATGGCAATGTTGGCCTGTCCTGAAAAATCTGAACATATGTTATAATAAAAGGGTGAACTTAGTGACTCTGATGATCCCCTGACTTTCCATTTAGTCCCACCAAAATGTTTTGTTTGACTTAATTTGTTGCACACACCATTTAATCCTTGAGATTAAATTAATAGTTTGGCTGATTTATAATGTTTCATCAATTGCAACAAACACTTCAGAGGGTACCAATTAGAAAATGTTAACATGGTGAGCATGATAAATATTATATCTAGCATTCCAACATTACTATTTTCACAGTTCCTGAGGACAACCTTGCAGCGCTTTCAGCGTATGCGGCTGTAGATTCTTGTTTAAAACTATTAACAAAGTCAATTAGCAACAGTTGCAAAGACCCAGCAGAGAAAAGCAGAGTCTGCTACTTAGTATATTCCACAAAAGATCACTTTTTACACAAGCTGCTAGATAAGCCATGGCAGCCTTGGTTAATAATGAATGAAATGAAAATGTGCTTGTTTATCTTCCTAAGGACACCATGTCATCACCAATAACTGCATATTAGTATACAAAGTATGAAAAGGGTTCATGGACGTTACTGTAGCTCTTGACTAATCACTTGTTGATGTTCCATATCCAACTCCAGAACAGCTGTTTACGACTGAGAAGACTAAAACCTGTGGGCAGTAAATCTTACGGCCCTTTGCCCGCAGCTCCAGGAAAGAAGCTTAAATAATGTTCCAGTGACTGATTGCCAAATGGCAAGCCGTTTCAACAAGGTGAAGCAATTGGACAATTGAGGCTGTTATATCACATTTGAAATCGGGGGGAACATTCGCCCAAGGTGAGGGTCAATATAGAAACATTAAATTGTTTGGGCTGGAATGGCTCTTACGTCAATGCCTGACTCAGCGAGATCAAATAAGGATATCCTGTTTGAACTGGAAAACAATCTGTTTCTCTGAAGGCCCTCAAGGCTTAATTGTTTAAATGTTCAATGTGTGTATGTTCATGCTTCCCTGAGAGTCTAAGCAAGAGAGTGACTTGCAGAAAGAGAGAGAAACAGTACCAGTAAGTAAATGGTAGGAAACAAAGACGTGATAAGTGATATAAATATTTAAACCGAGGAACGCCATTGTTTATAAAAGATTAGTCTTCCATAAAACCAAACCTCTTAAATCTGTGGTTGCGCTCCCTCTCATCCCTGTAACCGTCTCTCAGTCGCTTCAGTACATTTATTCTGTCATGTTACGTGGTTGACAACTGTGACACCTGCGTCACACTGGGCTGAATCAAGATAGCAACAGCAGACTTTAGGTGGTGTTTCCACGGCGACCACTCTCCGAGTCTTGGAGACAGAAATGGAAGATTCCGTGCGCTTACGCTCTCAGTGCCGCTGTCAAAGCTGCAAAGTGGTTACGGAGGTGAGAGGAAACAGGAAGCCGGACGGGCTGACCTGGCCAACGTTTCTGGAATGTCTTCAATGTTATGAATCTATCTTCCACCTCAACTTTCATTCCAACCGTTAACAGTTTCTCCTCATGAGTGTTTTATTGTCTCTGTCTCTCCAGCTGAATGAAGTTGGAACGAGAGGTTTCCATGTATTCGTGGGTGGAGAAGGTTTCTCGATGTATGGCTCAGGGCAGTGTTCATGACACTTCAGTAAAAAATGAGCTTTCAAATAGTTTTCTGCTTTATTTTTTTTGGGTGA